TTCCCATGAGGACGAAGCCGACTCCTCGTCCCGATAAAACCCCTTTTGTTTAGATTAAAGTGAATTCCTCTCCAGCAAAGTCCTGGCCAGCTGTCTTTCAAGAGATTTCACAACTACAGACCTTGATCAGGCTTGGAGAGCTGCCAGGCCGATATCTTCCAAACGCCACGCTGTAGCAGCAATTACTTGGCAAGAATCCAGGAACAGATCTTCACCCTAATGAATTAAATAATTGTCTCCTACAGACTCCCCTCCCCCTTCGCTCCTCTTTATTCCCGATAGGAGGGGTCATTCACCATCCACCTGTGGCTGTACTCCCAAGTCGGCCCTTGTTCCTTAGCTGTTCCCTTCCCCTGGCAGCTCTGCGTGTGCACATCGGGAACAGGCTCCAGCTGTTCTTCTGCCCCACTGATGTCCGATTCCGAGGGTAGCTGATAACTGTCAGGCAGCTCTGGCCCCATCTTTGCCTCCGATGCAGAGCCCTCATCAGAGCCTTCTGCAGACTCCAGGACTGGCCCATGTTCCTCCCCAACCTCCTCACTATCCGAATCTGCTGCCAGATCCGCTGGCTGCTGGCGGGCCACAACAGTCTCTGGCCTCCATCCTATATTTGGTGTATGCTTATTTCAGAAATGGAAACTTGGCACTACAAACATTAAAAAAAAGAAACTTTGAATGCACTGCAAAAGGACTTGTGGTTGACTCTTTAGCTGCTTCTACAGGGGCTCTGAAAAGAAAACAGTCCACTTTTTAATAAAAGCATGGAACCCACCTTTCCTTCTCTCGGCAGGAACAAGAACAGAAAGCTGAAGAGGAGAGGATACGGATGGAAAATATCCTAAGCGGTAACCCTTTGCTGAACCTGACAGGACCACTACAACCTCAAATAAATTTTAAAGTGAAGCGAAGGTATGGAGATGTTAACGGTGTTTTCAGTTGAGTCTCGGCTCCCCCCCCCCCGATTGTGAATAAGAGTCATAATTCCAAAACAGTTAAATTGGATTTAAATTGAATTTTTAAAAGAAAAAAATAGTAAAGTGGAGAGCAAGGCATTTAAGGCCTTCAAGTCCTTGATCTGTATTACACATATTAATACACGGTTGTCTTCCTGTACTACAAATTCAAGCTCCTATTATTTATTTCTCTATGCTCAAAGTATAAGCAAATAAACAAGAGAATACTTGCCAAGAAGCCAGGAACAGATCTTCACCCTAATGAATTGAACTAATTGTCTCCTGCAAACTCCCCTCCCCTTTCGTGCCTCTTTATTCCCTATGGGAGGGGCCATTCACTGTCTACCTGTGGCTTTCCTCCCAAGTCGGCCCTTGTTCCT